AGGTGGTATCTCATCAACACCACCTATCTAAGCACCAACCTCAATGCTTTCTATGCAAACTATGGCAAAATGCCCCAAGCCTAGGTGATTTGTTATGGGATTTTACTACAAAATTCGTTCTTTGTGGAATTTCATCATCACCATGAATCAACCACCTTCTTGCCACCACCACCAGGATTGTTGCTGTTCCTATCCCCTTTCTGGCCACCAGCACTACAAATCACCACTGCCATCAACTCCACTGAATTTCAATCATTGCCACCACTACACTTTCCCGAATCGATCCAAAATCGAAGCAAGTTTTAGTATTACCAATTTTCGAGGTCCTAAAAATTTCGGTTCGAGATTTGCTTTTTTATTTGAACCCCGAGCCCAAAGTAGCTCTAAAAGCGAGCAACTGTTTGAAATATTCGACACAAGTTTGAACTTCAACGTATGTATCTAGAGCAACCGGCTCTAGTTTGACACATTTTTTAACTTGTGGGCCAAAAAATACGTTGTCGCCTTAAAGCAACTCCACACTTCACGCCTTAAGGCAATAATTACCCATACAATTGGGCAATAGGCAATTATTGTTCGAGGGAATAGTAATTGCACGAGTGTATCTTCACCAGGATGATCGCCTAAGTGCTCAACGGCGGCCCACTGTCGCGATTTCCCTAAAATCGTTGAACAAGTCCACTAGACTATTAGGCACTGCCTAGATGGCCACCTGAGAGGACTAGGCCAGCTAAGCGGCCTCGGTGACCTCTGGGCGGTTTTCTAACTTAAAAAAAAAATTGCTGCAAAGGTTGTGAATCTTCGGCATCTCACTGCGCCTTGTTCCCTGTCTGCGTGCGTAGAAGAAGAGTCGGCATCAAAGATTTGATGAGAGAGGAAGAGAGAGAGAGAGAGGGAGAAAGAGCTCTGTAAATTTGCAATTGTAGAGAAGAGGTTATGTCGGCTAGGTTGGATTTAGGGATTTTAAAGTTGGCTGATAGTTCTTTTAAAATTAAGGAATAAGTTATTTATTTAATGTGAAAACAAAGGCCCAAACTTTTTTTAATGAAAACTAAAAAGCAAGGCCCAACAATGATTAAAACATATTAGGCTTAAAAAAACATTACAAAACCAAGGGTATTCCTATACTTTTGCGCACAAGTCATATTTTGTAATATATATAATAAATTTACTTAAAATAATATATATGTCATTTTATTTTACAGTTTATGTATCTCAGTATAATTATGTAATTCTTTTTAGTATAAATAGGCATTTATTTATATAATTTTATGTAAATCCGCCTAGTCCGCCTAGATTCTCTGACACACCCCGACCGAGATCAGGGCGTGCTGGCCATCACGCGGAGGTGACGTAACCATGTGCACAGTGCGGAAGCTAATAAAACAATAATAGAAGAAGTACGAAAAAAATAAAAACTAGCATACATAAGGTACTAGAAATAAGTGTTAGCGTAAGTGAGACACAAGTTCAGAGCATAACGCCTAAAGCAGTCCAATACACCCGAAGGTGGCCATACGCTGGTGATCGTCTGTCAGAAATGCCAGGAAAGCCCTCTGGGAAACCACCAAACCAACTAGACAGCTAGAACCTGGAGGGGCGTAAAACAAAAGCGTGAGTGGGCAAAAACAAAGCTTTTCGAAAACCATTTAACAGATAAGTTCTAACCCCTCGCCGTAAAACCTGTATACTTCCCAGAAAATAAACATATGTACATATATATATATATATACACCAATCATGCTTAAGAATATGCCATGTCAAATCTCACAATGAAATGCAAGTGCTCAGGTAAAAATCATATCCATAACATATAGTCTGGCAGCCGGAGTCACCCAACGTGACCTGTACGGCTGCATCTAGAGCTCAAATCTCAATCTCAATAACTAAACCTGCCCACGAGTCGGAACCACCTAAAGTGGTCCGTACGACAGGCCTGGGTGTAATACATATAAACGCTCTAGTGCTACGATCACGTGAAGGCTGTGCGAATAATCGCGGGTCACCTACGAGTCGGAACCACCTAAAGTGGTCTGTACGACAGGACTGTGCACCTAACTTGGATCAAAGTTGAGCGTGTGGTGCGGGAGGTGAACAACACGTGAAGGATTGTGCCCTACTCTGGGCGGGAGCACTAACACCGGGGGTGCAGGTTATGAGCTCTCTAAGCATCTCGAATCACTACTGAATGTAAACATGAATAACACTTACCTGGCACTTACCTGTGCGTCCGCAGCATCCAATATGCATATGTATATATATACAACTAATAATGCAACTAACGATGCATAAATAACAATAATCTAATGCATGGCATATGGCAAATGACAATTCAAATCAATTTCTGGGAAAATATAAGTATATAGGTATATACGGAAAACCAAAAGCCCACTCACTGGTAAGTGGAAAGGTCGTAACCCCCCTGCCTCGAGTGACCACGCTCGTCCTTGGGATACGTCTCACCTATATGCGAAATAACTATAAAAATGTTAATTTTAAAGCACATAACCAAACTTTAGAAATAACTTCTCATACAATGCTCAAATGGGGTGTATGAATACACCAACATGATCTACTCAACCTCAGGAACATCCCCATATTTTTAAAATAATTTTCACCGCCGCACGCGCCCCCATGCGCCGGCCAAGGCACGGCCACACGCGCCGACCACGCGCAGGCACGTGTCTGGCACGCTGACGGCATCAACTGACGCCATGAGGGAATATTCCGTTATCCCTAACGGTTTCCGTCAACGGCGTCAGGAATATTCCGTCAGACTTGACAGAATATTCCGTCGTCTTCTCCGGCGAGCCTCCGGCCCTAGAAAATCGGAAAAATTTCAAACTTTGATATCTTCTTCGTTTTTCATCCAAATTTCACAAAATTGGTACCAAAATGAAGCTTAGAACTAGAGGAACACAATCATCCCACTTTCAAGGGCTAAAATCCACAAAAACTCACCTGAAAAATCAACCCAACTCCGGCCAACTTCGAAACTAGTGATCCCAACGTCCAAAACCATCAAACGAACCACCTCAAGCCTCCTAGGGACCTCACCAAGCTACCTACAAGCTTGAAATTCCCTAAAATGTGAGAAATTACGTATGCATGAACAATACCACAAATCGGACATCGTGTAATCGACGTGAAAACGAAAGTGTTCTTACCTGAAATGGGCATAGTTGGACTCCTACAAGCCTCACGAGTCTGAATATGTGCTTGGTTTCCACGATCTGTGGAGGTTTGATAGGTTTTGTGGGTGTGTCCGTACGTTCGAAGGAAATGGGAAGGGAATGGGGACTCGGGACAGGTGCAGGGAAAGGGAGAAAATAGTGAGGGTGAGTGTGTGGTGCCAAACCTGCCACACCAAGCCAAAAGAACAACTATGCAACGACAATTCACGCTAGGGCAAAATCGTCATTTCACGTTACGTTTTAAAATTTCTGGGACGGGCTGTCACATTCTCACTTAGCAGCCTAAGCGCTAGGATCCGGTCTGCCGAGCGACTAGCGCCTAACGTTTTTTTAGAACCTTGATCTTCATCCCATAAAATGAATTGTCTAGGCAATTAGTACTAAAATTTATGTTTTTTACAATTTATAATAGATTAACAAAAAATGTAATATGCTTTTATTAATTATATCTTCCTCTTTTATATTAAATTATTAACTACATCTCTCTCTTTTTCTCCGCCTCGTCTTCCTCTTCCTCTCAAAACTTCATAATAAATTTATGTCACATATGCCAATGAATTTGATTATAAATCTCCACTATGTGGTAACATTCAAAAATAAAAAAAATATTAAGTTTAAATGAAGAAATTAAAAATTGAAATCGTTTTGGGTTCTTGTGCTTGTGTTGCAGTGATGAAAAAAAATAAAATGATTAGCTTGATGCACTTAAATCAAACTTACATAACAAAATTAAGATAATGTGGAGAAAAAATTTAGTTTTATAAAATAAAATGATGACTTTTGGGTTTTAGAGGGCCAAATGGATCAAAATCGAGTTTCAAAAGATAAAATAAAACGAATTTTGAATTTCAATAAGTAAAGTAACAATTTTTTAAATAATTTCATATAGCGAAATTAAAAATAAGTCATTTTATTTATGTAAGTTTCATTAAAATACAATTATATGTGAACATGATTGTCATACGCGGAATGTACGAGTGTATGACCGTGACCAATATGAAAAGATGGCCTAAAGGCACATAGTATTCTCTCAAATTTTAATCATCTAACAATTCATTTAGCTGTCATTCTTGCAAATGACAGGCAACACACAACACTCTATTTTGAATGAAGATCTTCTTGGGATTCCTTTGTGAGAATTCTGATAATTTTTAAATCGTGTTCATTTATTGGATATCGTGCAATCAATTTTCTTCATGTACTACTCATATTTAATTTTAAATAAAAGTATTTAAAATAATTTTTAACCGTACGATGTATGACGAACAGACACGATTTGAAAATCTTTAAAATCCTCACTCTATTTCAATTTGCTTTTGTAGATAATCTTTCATATAAGCAAAAGCGAAACATGATTCTATCCGGATCCTCTTTGTGAGGATCCGAGGAATAAGTTTATCCTATATGTTCATCAGTCATCATGCGGTCAGAAATCACAATTAGTACCAAACGAAAATTAATTTCACGATATACGATTAACGACTAAAATGAATTATTTTCTAGATCCTTGCAAAGTTTGGATCCTCGCCAGATCCCCTCTCTGGGGATCAAAGGGATCAACAAACACGGACTATTGATCAAAAATCATGCGGCCATAATTTTTTTTTATTTTATATTTTTTACGCAAAACGATAGTACTTTACTTTTAAAAATATAAAAAATATTTAATTAAGATCGCATGATTTTTAATTAACTGTCCGAATTGTTTAATCCCTAGAATTCCAAGGGAAGGGATCCGGAAAGGATCCAAATCCCAGCAAAAGCACCCACCAAAAAAGCAAAAGCATTAACAAGCAAAGACCGACCGACCCACCCCCCATAAAAAACCAAAAAAGCCAAAAACAAAAGCCAAGGTGTGAAAAAGAAAGCTCACTTCTCACCTCTCTCCTCCGCGCAATCTCTCATCCGTTTTCTAAACAGAAAGCCCAAAACACCATGGAAGAAGAGGAAAACATGTCGCCACCATTTTGGCTCCAAGCCTCCAATTCTTTCCGGCAGTCCAACCATCGCAGCAGCCGCCTCGGCCGCTCTGCCTCCTCCGTTTTCTTCAGCTACGGCGCCTTCGTTTTCGCCTTGATCGTCATAGTTCTGGTATTCATTTTCTTCGTAATCCCATCACTCTTGTCCTTCACTTCTCAAATTTTTAGACCCCATGTAAAAAAAAGTTGGGATTCTCTCAACCTCGTCCTCGTACTCTTCGCAATTGTTTGCGGATTTCTCAACCGAAACAGCTGCAACGACAACAATGTTAGCAGTCCCATGTCGTACGATGTTTCTTCTCCGCAGAAATTTGAGAAGTCAAACCCATCAACCCCACGTCAGTGGTACGATCAGTATTCAGATCGGAGTCGGACGGTCGATAATCAGAGCAGTGGTGCTACTAGTACGATGGACAGAGGAGTGAGGACCAGCAGCTCGTACCCGGATCTGCGTCAACAGGAACCTTCATGGAATGTGGTTAGGGACGAACGATGGCGATCCCACGACGATACCCATGTGGCCGACGACGCCCATGTGGCCGGTTATCGGATTCCGGGTTCGGATCCGCAGCATCAGCTCCCCCGCCCTCACCGGTCGTGGCATGAAGAACCGGCAGAGGTTCTAGCACATGAAGAACCGGCAGAGGTTCTAGCGCATGAAGAACCGGCAGAGGTTCAAGCACGAGTAGGATGTGTACTACGGACCCAGAATATACCAGTAAACACTTTTGTGATCCCTGCGGAGCAAGTTAGTTTTTCACACGCACAGATTCAGGTTATTCAACCCGATCCTCTTAGTTCTTCACACGCACAGATTCAGGTTATTCAATCCGATCCTCTTAGTTCTTCACACGCACAGATTCAGGTTATTCAATCCAATTCTCCGCCCCCATCGCCGCCGCGGACACAAACTCCGCCACCTCCGCCGCCGCCGCGCAAGACAAAGAGGACGTACCAAGCTATTGGAGAAAAAGAAAACTCGAATGCTAGTGACAATTTGGAAGTGGAGAATAATTTGCCCCCACCGCCTCCCCAGGCCCCGCCTTCTCCGCCGTTACCTCCGCCATCATCACCGCCGCAGATGTCGAAGGAGGTTGAGAACAAGAAAACGCCAGCTGGGAAACATGCGAAGAAGAAGGGAGTTGCTACCACTAAAGAGTTCTTGATCACGTCATTAAGGAAGAGTAGGAAGAAGCAGAGACAAAAGAGTGTCGAAAATTTCGAGACTCTCCTCGCTTCTGGCTCTTCGGCTCCTTCGTCTGCACTTCCGCCGCCCTCACCGCCGCCTCCTCCCCCACCGCTACCACCACCTTCGGTTTTTCACAACTTGTTTTCTTCAAAGAAATCCAACAAACCCAAGAAAACTATTCACCCAATTCCACAGCCGCCGTCGCCACCACCGCTGCCACGGATCAATTCCACCGGGAGATTATCCCAAATCAGGCCCACGATGACAACCCAAAAGCCGCTACCTCCAGTTAAGGTGACCAGCTTCATCAACAGAGATGATGAGAATGCGAACAGTGGCGGGGAGTCGCCATCGGTTGGAATACCGCCGCCGCCGCCGCTACCGCCATTTAGTATACCGGTTGCGAAATACGCAGAGCATGGGGACTTTGTGAGGATCAAAAGCAACGACAGTTCACCCAGCGGCTCACCTGATTTGGACGACAGTGATCAGGATTCAGTTCCATCACCGACCATGGAAGCGGGTAGTAAAACTCCATCGGAGAGCGGAGAGTCGCCGACAAAAGCTATGTTCTGTCCGAGCCCGGATGTGAACACCAAAGCTGACACCTTCATTGCAAGGTTCAGAGCTGGTTTGAAGTTGGAGAAGATGAACTCTGCGAGGGGAAGGTCCAATCTAGGCCCACATTCCAGTGAAGAAGATGTCACGGATATCTAAACTAGTTACTTATTGCTGTGCGGAAAAGTTAAAACTCATTGTGTAATTAATTGCTATGTAGAAAAGTTGAAATAAAAAACAGTCGCCGGGATATGTTGATGGTTGCTGGAAGAACATATGGAGACTGGCAGTGCCGAATAAGTTGAAGTTCTGTATTTGGCGATGTTGTAATGGTTCTTTAGCTATGAGAGTTAAATCTTATTCGGCGGCAGATGTAGGTGGATGGTAGGTGTGTGATGTGTGGAGAAGCGGAGTAATCGGGGCACCATTTGTTCTTCGAATGTGTGTTTAGTAGAGTGATGTGGTATGGATGCTCACTGCAGCTTGACATTGTGGCGTTGAAAGGAAGTGATTTCTGAGAGTACTGGATGAGACTGTGTGATAGGTTCCATGATAATGAGTGGCAAGAGGAGTTGTTGCAGGAAAGTGTTTATCTTATGCAGAGAATATGGAAGTGCTGCAATGATATGGTCTTCAAAGGTGTGTCGGCAAATCCTATGGAGATGATTAATATTGCCAGGCAGTAAGTGGTTGAATTTCATGCATGCAATGACATGAAGGAAGCTATTAATGGTGGTGTTGTGTTTGGGGGGACTACATGCTTTGCGGGTCAACAGGTACGGTGGAAAAGACCTGCTTTTGGAGTGTTATGGGGCTTGGTGTGGGAAGACTTGCAAGGAAGGCTATGGATGGGTATTGAGAGACTTTGCGGGGTTGTTGCAAGCGGCTGGTGGGGAAGGTGGTCTAATTTTTAACAATCCAATGATGGTTGAAGTAGCTGCGGTTCGCGCGGCTTTACAAGTCTGTCTTGAGCTAGGATGCATAGAGGTGGGGGTTGAGTCAGATTCTCGGACGGTTATTCGTATGGCCAATAGGGAGTATGTGATTGATGCTACTTTGAAATGTTTCTTTCATGATATTAGGTTCTTGGCATCTCAATTAGGAAGGGTGACGTTTGCGTGTGTTAAACGACATGGTAATGCTGCTGCTCAGGCTATTGCTTCGTATGTAACCTTACATGGAGGTGCTTTCCGTTAAGATGCTATTGGTCCGGAGTTTTTATTTAATATTTTGGTTGAAGATGTAAACATTACTATTAGAATTTAATAAAGTCTACTCTTTGACCAAAAAAATATATATATATATGGTGCCAATTTTTATACTATTTTTTCTAAATTTATTGGTTGTTTGTTTCCCATATAATTTGTGTCCATTTTCTTTGGAAATAACCAAAAATAGGATATTTTCTTAATCTTGAAACAGAAATGGAACAAATTGGCAATACACAAGCCATGGACATCATGCACAAAACCATAATTACTAAAATACTCAAATATAAATACTAAAAATTATCAGCCCATTGCATTATTTTTCTCATTTGGAAGAGAGGGATGTGGAGAGAGCTCTGGGTTTCTGAGTTGAGCTCAAATCTCTAAGCTCAGATTTCAAAGAGAGAGAAGTGCAAAGAGAGGTGAGTAGAGTGAGTTGAGTTTTGGGTTGACCTCATACTTCTGATTTCAAACAAAGGGATGCAAGAGAGAGGTGAGAGGAGTGAGCTGGGTTTTGTACCATATTTTTTGTTTTGGCCGAAAAAAAGTTCAATTTTTTTGGGCAACTGAAGCTTTGGCAAACATAGTAAGGTAGGGTGTTTAGTTCCAAATTTCTACATCAATGATTTATGGAATAAATGGGTTGTTTGTAAGATGAATTAATACTTAGAAGTTAAATTAGGGTTTGTGTTTCATGTTGAGGTCTATGGGTTGTGGAATACTTTACTTTTTGACGTGCTACAAAATTAGGATAGAACAATTTCTGGTTCAAGTGTTCAATTACAAAAATTTGTGAAAATGTTTCTGTAATATGCATGTGGTGTGCATGACTACAACTTAATATGAGAAGCGGGAATGTTCACTAGTTATAATGCACGTATGTTGGGCTTCAGAATTTAGCGAGTATGTACATAACCTAGTTGGCTTCGGCGAAAAACAAAATTAAGAAAAAGCTTAGAGGACGTTAGGGGTCATGCATGTCGATGAAATAATGACAACAAGTATCATGTTTTCCACATGCACGATTAAGCGGTGGTTGATGTACGTAACAAGACTTTTCAAACTGTCACTGTAACCTTATATATGTAACAATTATGTTTTAATTATATCCACTACACCAATAGATTTATGTTAAAGTTTCTTATTAATACGAAAAGTAGCTCGTTGCTCGATCTAGAATTATGTGCATATCATGTGCATGTACTGTATATATGATGTGCAAGTGGTGTGCATATAGTGTATATGGTAGTGATATCAGAGGTGGTGACGTCATAGGTGATGATGTCATTTTTCTAATTTCAAAGAGAAAGTTGTGAGTTGTGAGCTGTGAGTTTTTGGGTTGACTGAGATCTATGAGCATATCATGTACATGTCGTGTATATGTTACTAGAAATAGATGATTTTTAATGGGATTTCCAGAATCTAGGTTCATGTCAAAGATTTGTAAACTACAGATCTCCAAGGGATTTCCAGAATCTAGGCCACCACATATCCCCGAACGCCATTAATTGCATGATGCACGTCCATAACAAAACCAACTTCGTTGCACATATTGATACAGAAAACAATTTGGGATTTCTTTGAACTTAGAGGGAGAAGGCGTTCATTGGCGGAGGAGAGATAGATTGCAGTAGAAAAAAATGGTGTCTTTAGTTTTTCATAATTTTTTTTAGTACATTGATATTTTTACACTAAGGGGAGGGAGAGTTCGGCTAAGCCACACAATGGGTAGCTTAATTTGGTATTGAATTCACCATTCACGAGATTTGAACCTAAGACGTCTCACTTCCAAGTGAAGAAAAATACCACCAGATCGTACGACTGAATGGCTTCAGTTTTTCATAATGGATTTTCTTCGACATCTAAAAATTTTATGGACTGCAAATTGGTTTCAACCCATATAGGTTTTGAATGAGATTTCGAATTTGGGGAAGAAGATGATTTGATGAAGAAATCCCCAATATGCAACTGCAAGCACATAAATGTGTTCATTTCCTGAAAGGACCAATTAGCAAACATAAACAATCTCCAAATAAATCAATTCTTCCAACTGGGTTTTCGAATTTGGGGTTGAAGATGATGATTTGAGGAAGAAATCCTCAATCTGCAACTGCAAGCACATAAATGTGTTCATTTCCCAAAAGGGCCAATCAGCAAACACAAACAATCTCCAAATAAATCAAATCTTCCAACTGGGTTTTCCATTATCTTTCACTAATCTAAGAACATCCAATAAATATCATTTGTAGGGAAGGATAGAGGGAGGGAGAGGGAGAGAGAGAGAGAGGGTAGAGAGAGACATAAGAAAATAGGATGAAATAAGCCATTTATATACGAGGGCAATTTGGTTATTTCAGGGTGTAGGAAAAATCTTATTTATGTTCGATGTTATGCATTGCGTGTGCATATTAAAAAAAAAAAAAATTTACTATTTTTGTCCCAAGACTAAGAAAATGAAAAATTAGGTTACCATCCCTACTTTTCCTACCCCATTGATTAAAACTTTATTCCTTTTCAATTTTTGATCAAGGTCCTTAGATTTGAATAAACGTCATTAATTATTTTGATGATAAAATATTTTTTTATTTCTAAATATATTCATTTAGTGTTAAAAACGTTACATTTGGTATATTTATATTTATGGCTAAATTTTTTATCATATATTTTTATTTTTAGTTTGTACCCATTTTTAATTGCAACATTTTTTCAATTAGTACCAATTTTCTTTTTCAAATTTAATTTGTACCCATATATTAATTCATTTTCTTGCATGTATTTTTTAAACTTTTATTTGTATTTGTACCCATATTTTTTAATTTATTTGTACCCATTTTTAATTTTGCTAAATGTATCCATACTAATTATATGTATTTATTTTATGTTTTGAAATATATCAACAGTTATTTTTTAAAATATATTAATAATTATGAGGGTACATTATTTTTTTCTATAATTTTTGTGAAGAACAATATTACTCTAAAATTGATTTTTAAGTATTTATTTATTTTTAATATTATTTGAATTTTTTAAAATTTCATAATTTGTGGGACATTAAATGCATAAATGCATGCGTTAAATCACTTAAATGAGGCTAAGATCTCGATCAAAATATTTAAATAAACAAGATTTTAATCTAACAATTAGGTTGATTAGGGACTGGAACCAAAATAATCCTTAAGAAAATGTCATATTTTTTGGTATTTCCCTTTTATTTTAGAGAAACGATAGATATTTCATTGATATTCAAAAAACAATCAATACAAGTCAGCAAGAGTTAATCTCCGAGCCAATATGTGGGCAACTTCGTTGGCTTGCCGGCGAACCTGGGAAAAAGAAGCTTTAGTGATTGATGAAAGAAGGGTCTTCAAATCCTCAATAATCGGTCCAAGTGAAGAGAGATTAATAGAATGATCATTCAGCGCTTCCACTCCATTCGTGCGATAGAGAGAGATAGGTAACCTCACTAAGGATGTTCATTGATCGAAACCAATAATACTTCGCCATTTCGCATCCAATCAGTTCAATGTAGATTGGATTGTGCTTTTTCTAGTTCAATTAGATCCAATTAGAAGTGAGGATCCAGTCTAACTTGATCCAACATAATAGATGTTGGATTTGATTATGATCAAGTTTTGATAATTAATAAAGAAAATACTGAAACATAACAAATTTGTTGTCATGTTTTTAATTCAAATATGAAACGATTAATCATTTTAACCGTAATTTATAAGTGAAATCAATCGAAACCAAATCGCGTATAACTTTACTCAGTATAAAATTTTCTTTTGTCAATTACTCAAATATAAGTCGAACTCCACGTATTAAGGTCCACTAGACTTGGTGATAGTTTGAGCTTTTAGAAATAATGGAATTGGGAAAGTGAAAACCATCGATATGACTTTGATTGGCACTAGACAGGTGGATGACAAAACACTTGCTTTCAGAAAGAGGACTAACGCTCCCGTGATTTGAGGCACATAATACGTTTTTACTTGTCCACACCTTGAATTTCAGGAAATTTTATTATTGCATTATTATTTTATTTGTTTTGTTAGATTAGAGAGTCGATGAGGTTTGAACTCATGTCGAAATGCAATTCCATAACTCATTTTCATCATTGTGGTAAATAGCTACTTGCTTATGCATTATTGAATATGCCAAATAGAATTAGTTTACTTGCTATATATATAATATACGACAAATTTATGTTCATATATTATAACACTGGTTATATCACGTATTATATATACTAGAAAAGTTCACACACTATGCATGAGAAACATGATTTTTATTCTCCTTTTTTTTTTTTTTAATTTTTTATGGGAGGAGTTATTTGTTCTTAATGGGGTTCACAGACATCTAAAAAGGGGGTTGGTGTTAAGAAGAGAGAAAGAGAGTAAGTTTAGAGGGTATTGATAGGGTGACATGGTTGTGGGGTTAAAAAAAAAATAGCAAACTCGGCATAGATGCCATTCGAATTGGCAATCCTATGCTTGTTCCAGCTTCAAGATGACAGAATTGGGATTGATCGAAGGATCGAAGAGGGGATTGAAAGGGAATTCTATTAATATGTAGTTTAGATATATAAATATACAAATATTATATATATAATATACAACAATTTCTCGGGTTTTAGATATAAAATTAAATTGAAAAAGGATAGCATATGCAACATGCTAATGATAAATTTGATGACAATGATGGAGATGGTGGTAACTTGCAAAGGGGGTTTGGGAAGGGTTTTAGATATAAAATTAAATTGAAAAAGGATAGCACATGCAACATGCTAATGATAAATTTGATGACAATGATGGGGATGGTGGTAACTTGCAGGGGGGGTTTGGGAAGGCGGCTATAAGTAATCAATTTCCAAATATTAATATACATTTCTTGCTTTTTAAAAGTAAGAAAAATTACCACCGAAATTAGACACATTTTTTCTTGAAACATTGGTCAGCTAGTGCATGCAGTGAAAGTAGCAACCATATATACATACACATATACGTATATATACACAATTATGTAAAAGTAGTAAGCTACAAGTGAAAGAAACTTAGAAATCCAACAAGAAAACCTTAGATTTT